AGACTGGGAGAGGATGTTGGGGTGACCTGAAAGGGGAAAGAAACCAGATGCCACAAGTAGAGGGAGCAGCAAGTCTAAGTTGGAAATAGCAATTGCAAGAGAGAATATCAGAGAACTGTTTTCCATGAACCAGATGACTATCTTCCAGAAAGTCCAACCAAGTTTGGTTTCTTCTCTATATAACTTTTGCTCCTGCTATACCATAAGGACTGCAATTAACACTCAAAATCCAACCTCTTCTTTGGGACATTTAGAAAAAAATCTCTCAACACAGGTATGGGACTAAATATAATTGGCTGGAACGTCTAGTACCCTACATACACCAGCTTTCCAGCCAAATATAATCAGAAGAGAACATTTAAGAATAACACCTTAGATCTTCCCAGATCTTAGCTTTTAAAAAAACATTTATTTTATTGATTTCAGAGAGGAAGGAAGGGGAGAGAAACATCAATGATGAGTCAGTGGCAGGAGGCAGCCAATCAATGATTCTCTCTCACCACTGATGTTTCTATTATCTCTCCCTTACCCTTTCTCTCGGAAATCATTAAAAATATATTTCAAAAAAGTAATAAGGTAAAAGCTAAATGATCGTATAGCATATTATCATCACCACCTAGGAGAAGACCCTAGAAATCATAAAGTATTTCCTAAAATCCATCATTAAAAAAATGCCACAGCCAATACTTGAACCTACAATACTTGTATTCTTCAGGTCACCACCCCTTAAGAAATTAAATTGGAAATAGTCAACCTTGAGGGACAAAGTAATTAGCTGCAAGGTCAATCTGAAAGGAGAAATTGAACAAGTAGATGGAAAATACGTGCATAAGATTGAAACATTTTGAACCACAGAAACAGACTAACATTAGACCAGCAGTAGTCTAAGCATCTTATCAAGGATAAAGTTTCAAACACTTTAAACCACCTTGGGTACACCAGTGTTTGCATGTGCAAACATGAGCACCTCAGGACACTCACACATTTTCATAACTCTGTGGTTCTTAACCAAGAGACGATACTTTGAAACTGTGGGGTGACACGTGGAGGAGTTACAGTGACAAAGAAGGAAAACCAGGAATAGCCTGTAGTATCCACAACAAAGAACTGTCCCATTGAAAAATGTCAGTTCTCCCAAACTGAGTAACCGAACCAGTAAAACTCTAGTTCATAACAGCTAATCCCCAAATTATGTCCATAAACTCAGATTAACATCAGAGACAAAAATCATGGCATATTAGCCTGAAAAAGACCAATTCCCTCACTTTTGAAACTGGGAATTTGACTTACCCATTGTTATGTAACTATTATAAGAGGGAGTCTTTTGCCTCCAAGTTCAGTAAATACCTCACTTTCTAGATAATGTACTGAAAGGCATCCTCATCTATCTTCACTCTTCTACCATCAAAACCTGACAAAGCTGACTGATTCCGAAGTCCAAAGACATGGTCATTTCTGACACCTCTGCAACCCCCCTTAGAGCCCAAGCAGACTGTGTAGGGTTACCAGCACTATTCAACTCTGTAAACTGAGATGTATATAAATCAGTACCCCCCACACCAAGATTAATTCCTCTGAATGTTTTTTTCCAAGCGATATTAACAGACATACCTGGGAGATGTAATATGCAGCGACAAAATTTGGGGCAGGTGGAACATATTTAATTCTTTGATACTCAGATTTGGTAGATTTAAGGTGAATTATTAATTGTAATTGTGTGTTTCGCATCTACTGCCTCTCAAACACAATCAAATATAAATGCCAACAATGTCCTGAGACTGGAGTCATGAAAATCGAGTCTCTTAAAAATCCAGTACAGGGAAGGAACTCAGTGTGGGAACTGGAATTTACAGCTCTTAACCTAAAGGTCTTGCCACATCTAGCTGCCTCCTTCTCTCTAATCCTATCTTCAGGAAAGTGTAGTGAAACAAGAAGATACAAAAATAACGGAAGTGAATGCAGTTTTTAAACCAAGCTCTGGCCAATTTTATTAAAGAAAAATTTCCCATGATTTACTTTTCACCAGTCTGTTCTGGCATGAGTCTAATGATATCAGAATCACCTGGAAAATAAAACAATAATAATTTTACAATTCATTTAATGGCAACTGGTAATCATGAAATTAACAGTGGTTATCTTCAAGTTATGCACTAGCTGTCCTGCCATTTCCTGAGGTTGATCATATATATCAGGCTTGGTTTATCACCAGCATTTAGAAAACCAGACCGAGGGAAAGAACTAGGTCTGGGGACACATGCATGGTCTTAATATAGCGAATGTTTAGCCTGCCCTGATTATCACAAAATCAGAACAGCGAGAATATTCGCAGTATTTTATGAATTAAAACTTCTTAAGTTCAAAACACGTGCAGCTGACCCTTGAAATCAGGGATTAGGGGTGCCGACCCCTATGTGTAACTTAAGTCGGCCTTCCACACACATGTATTCCCAACCACAGATTGAAACTACTGTCTTTGTTCTATAGTTGGTGAATCCACGGATGGGAAACCCATAGAAAGGAATCTGTATATGTGACTCATGAAGTTCAAACTTGTGTTTTTCAAGAGTCAATTTCTTTCAACCAATGTTTCCTCTCTGTTTAAGCAGCCAGTAGAGATTACTTTTCTCTATTCACCTGATAATTTTCCCCTTTATAATGTCATCTTTTACCAAGGTCCTCAATCATTTTGTTCAGAGATCAAATAAAATTCACAATCTCAAAGAAAAAAAGAATTCACTTATAGCAAAGCCAATGTACTGACACTTGTCAATTCTCTATGAAATAAGGATATCCTTTAATATATCCAAATTATCACCATCTGAACTCAGGAACCAGTATAGCAAATACTTATATTACATTATAAAGAAAAGAATATACAATTTAAGAAGCATACCTGGGTCAATGATAGCCAGTGTGCATACCCTGTAGTATTTTCCACACGCTGTGCCCAATTCAATATTATTGCCACTGTAGTGATGGACACCAGTCTTGGCCAACATGGCATAGTACTCTATTTCAGATTTCCTTTGGGAACCAAAAAAGGGCAAATAAATGCCATGCCAAATGACTGACGGACTAAGTATTTGCCACCTCTCATTAGTTTTAATGCTGGTGAGGCCTTCCAACAGTAAATAAGCCAGTTATTACTATTTCTATCCAGTTATTACTCTTAAGAACCTATTTCATTGGCCAATACAAACCATCCTTTACTTGGATTCCTTACAAAAGATATGAGACAACCAGCAAAAACAAAGCATTATTTACTTAGTATTTACTGCATACCGGATACTTTACAGAGTAAAAAATGGAGGAATCAGAAGTCAAACTTATGTTACCCTGAAAAGATGGTCCATTTCTATCACCCTTTGACGTGGAATCGTAGATTGGAGGTGATATTACCCAGAATTAACGTTTGTAGCAATTGAGTAGATAGGTATTAGTGGCTTCACAAATTTGATGGGAATTCTAACAGAACTTTGCTCCTACTCAAAGTGTGGATCCAGACCAGCAGTGGTGTCACAAGGGGCTTGTTAGAAATGCATCATCTCAGGCCCATTCAGACCCCAAATCAGAACCTGCAATTCACTCCTGTGTTCATGTCTGAGAAGCACTGCTATAGACAGCAGGCTGAAAAGGAATGCTTGAAACAAGACCAAACTATGGGGTGGGGAGCACTCCCGTCAGTACATACATCCCTATAAAATGCTACGAGGTGATGCATCATCACTGAAAACCAACGTGGGTAGGGGGCTGATCATGGCTTATATTCTGTAAGTTCAAAGTTTCTTTAACTTATTTACAATGCCCACTAGGTTCAATTTTAAAAGTTGAAAAAACTGTGGCTGAGAACTGACATGGGAGGATGAACTAGGACCTAGTGGTTCTCAACCTTCCTAATGCCAAGACCCTTTAATACAGTTCCTCATGTTGTGATGACCCCCAATTTCATTGTTACAAATAGAACATAATTAAAGCATAGTGATTAATCACAAAAACAATATGTAATTATATGTGTTTTTCGATGGTCTTGGGCGACCCCTGTGAAAGGGTCGTTCGACCCCCAAAGGGGTCGCGGCCCACAGGTTGAGAACCGCTGAACTAGGTGATTCTATGACAGCCTGCAACTCCACGGGTCAGCCTGAACTAGCTTTTCTACACCAAAACAAGTTCAGACAATGAAGCACTTTTAAAGCATCTCAAAGCTAAATGACCAAAGACACAGCACAAAATACATGTAAAAAACAACATCGATGTATGTGCTCCCCTCAAACTTTTGACATTGTGATCTTTATCATTTCTGCCCCATTTCTCCAGTAAGGTAAGCTTACACGGGGAGAAAACATGCTGGGGGGGGGGGGGGGGGGAGTGGGAATCCAGAGCTAAACACCGAAACAGCTAAGTCATTCACAATAGCAGCCTCCTGTCAAGTGTTCGCTTATAAAACAGATTTTATATCATCTCGAGTGCACGCCACCCATACTGCCAGTTTGCACGCCGCACATTCGCTCTCGACGAACTGGCAAGGAGCGCACACACCTCAAGGCCGGGCAGTTGTTGGCCAGGATGACCAGCTTCGCTTTGCCTTATCAGATCATCTTCAGCGTCTGCTTGTACCCCAGCACGTACTTCCCGCTTTTCATCACCAGCTGGAGCCTGGAGTTGATCGACTCCAACGACTTTTTCTACAAAGCAAACATTTACCGTGCATCTGAGAGGCCTGGTGCGGAACCACCGCAAAACTGGACCCAGCTTTCTGCAAGCCGAGACCATGAATAAACCCTCCGAAGGCCAGGTCCCAAGTCCTTGAAAGGCCCAATCGGGTTTCTTTTGGGGAGCCCCCCCGAATCCATCGGGCGTGCTGTCTCCCCAGGGTGCTCCCATGCCCGCCCCGCCGCCGAGACAGCTCCCCACGTGAACCGGCTTCCGGCCCGCTCCACTCACCGTCTTCTTTGCGGCCACCATCTTCCTGCCTCAAGTGCGGGACGGCCCCCAACCTACAACACACGGAGCACAGGAAAGGGAGCTCAGGAACCCGAGGTCCAATGGCAACCCGCGGGGCCCCCCGCGAGGCGAAAGCGCCAGCCGCTGGAGCCCACTCACCAGATGCAGCCGCCAAGATGGCCGGGGAGCAAGAAAGGAAGTAGTTCCCACAATGCAAAGCTCTTCACCACCCAGCCGGGAGCCCCGACCGGAAGCGGAAGCAGATCGCAAGCGGAAAAGGCGGGGCAAGAAGGGAAGGACCGCTCCGGTTGCTATAGGTACCGCTGGGGAGCGCGGCGTGGGTGCTGTGAGCTGAAACCAGGCGAGTGCTTGAGGCCGGCCCTGCTCGTGGCTCTGGCTTCCAGCTGTGGCCTGAGGAGCCGCGGTCGGCGGAGCCGGTTGGGAACTGGAGAACCGGCTGAAGGTGAGGCGGGAGGAGCGGCGAGCAGAGGCGGCGCGGCTGCACCACGGTTTCCGCGCTGCTGCTCTTCTCTGCCCGAAGCCGAGGCTCTCGGAGAGCGGGAGGAGGGCGGCGCGGGTCTGCCCGAAGCCGTCCCTGTCGGCATTTCCGGGGCCAACGCAGCTGCCTGCCCGCCTCTGCCCTCGCCCTGGTTGCTGGTTCCTCCAAGAACCGTAGCGCCCCGCCCTGGCTTCCTCAAACCCACCTCTTTCTTGGCCGTGTTGGTGTCAAACTTGTAAGCCGAATTTGCACAGAGGGAGGAATAATAATTTACTTATTTTTAAAAATAAGTTTTTACTGATTTTAGAGAGAGAGAGGATGGAGAGGGAAACATCCATTGACCGGAGATCGAATCCACAACCGGGCATGTACCCTGAGCGGGAATCGAACCCGCCACCTCCTGGTGTACGGGAGGACGCTCCAACCAATTGAGCAATACTGGCCAGGGCTCAAATAAACTTAAAAGAATCCTCTACATGTTTGGATGTATTATTATTTTTTAAAATGTATTTTTATTGATTTCAGAGCGGGAAGAAGAGGGAGAGAGATAGAAACATCAGTGAAGAGAGAGAATCATTGATCGGCTGCCTCCTGCTCGCCCCCTCCTTGAGGATCAAGCCTGCAACCCCGGCATGTGCCCTTGAATGGAATTGAACCCGGGACTCTTCAGTCCGCAGACCGATGCTCCATCCACTGAGCCAAACCTGCTAGGGCTGGATGTATTATTTTATTTAACATCAATGTACACCCTGAGCCCGAAACCACTCTGGTGTACAGGATGATGCCAACCAACTGAGCCACGCCAGCCATTCTTAACCAATATATACATATTTGTATATGCATGTAAAGTTCAAGTCTGGAAAGCTAATTAGCAAACTTTTCTCTGGATGAAAGATGAGAAAAGTAGATGGTAAGGAGGGGATATTTACTCTTAATGCATTTCAGTAGTGCTTAAATTGTTTCACATTAAATTATTTTACAGCATGCATTAGTTATGTGAAAAGCTCCTTTTTAATAATGTGGTTATTTTAATTAGATCTTGTGAAACATCAATTATATCTTCAAGCAGTATGGCTCTCAGATCACCTGATTCAGAATCACCTTGAATTCTGACTCCTGGGCCCCACCCAGGTCTGTAGAAGAAATCTCTGGATGTGGGGCCTTGGAATCTGAGTTTAATAAGCAGCCTTGAAGGTGCCTATCAATACTAAAATTTGAGAAAGATAACTAAAGAATGAGATAGCCAAATTAGTTTTGAGGCATGCCTGTTTAGATAGAGATATAAACTAAAAAAATGATGCCATATACTTTTATATTGAGCTCTATATTTTCAGAGTTTTTTGATACTTTCCAAGGTAATCAGAATATTACCCCCATTGTAGAGAGTGAATGATTAAAGCACTAGCGATGACTTTCCTGAGATGACTGTCATTATGACACCAAGTTTCTGGTCCTTGGTGTATGTTTTTACTATACATTAAAGAAAGGGTTAGTTACTTTCTCTCGGCGATCTTGGGGTGTTTTGTACTAGAAATCAGAGAAGCCCAGCACACAGTGTGTATGAATTATGACCACAAAATGCTCGAGAATCCTTCCTAGGGAATCTTAACTGATTCTGCTGACTCTCTTTGGGACAGACTTAGGTTCTTTGTTTTTCTATTTAATGCCTGCATGACTTTGGGCAAATCTCAGTTTCTTCAGTAAAACTAGAATAATACTGTCTACCTCAGGGGTGGGCAAACTTTTTGACTCGAGGGCCACAATGGGTTCTTAAACTGGACCGGAGGGCTGGAACAAAAGCATGGATGGAGTGTTTGTGTGAACTAATATAAATTCAAAGTAAACATCATTACATAAAAGGGTACGGTCTTTTTTTTTTTTTTAGTTTTATTCATTTCAAGCGGGCCGTAGTTTGCCCACGGCTGGTCTACCTCATAGTATTGTGAGGATCAAAATAAACGTAACAGTGTATAAAGCACCTAGCACAGGGTCCTGTACAGAATAAGTGTATAGTGTATGTTCGTTCCCTTCCTCAATCTCACTACCTCCCCAACCTCGCCATCACAGCTACCTGCCCACAGCTGAAGTCATCCACATCACAAAACCTATGCACTAGAGCAGTGGTTCTCAACCTTGGCTGCACATTAGAATCACCTGGGAATCTTTTTTAAATCCTGATTTCTGGGCCTCGTCTGGAAATTCTGTTTCTTTGTTATGGGGTGGGGTTGTCCAGTTGTTTTGGTTGTGACTGCCCCTGCTAAGGTTGAGAACCACTGCACTAGAGGAAGAAACACTTGCTATGCAAGAATTGACAGTCAAATCCTTTGGCTCATGAAGATTTTGTAAATATTTTCACACATATTTATTAGAGTAGGAGTTGGCAAATTTTTTTCTGTAAAGACCAAACAGTAAGAATTTTATGCCTTTTAAGCCATATGGTCTCTGTGCGACTACTGGATTGTAGTGTAGCGCAAAAGCAGCCAAAGATGATATGTAAATGAGTGAGTGTGGCTGTGTTCCAATAAAACCTTATTTACAAAATCAGGCAGCTGTCCGGACTTGGTCATATGGGTGAGCCCCAATCCAATATGACTGGTGTCCTTATGTGATGAGGGTAGGACACAGACACGCATGGCAGGAAGACCACGTGAAGACACATGGAGACTGCCATCTACCAGCCAAGGAGAGAGGCCTCTGAGTGAAACTAACCCCACTGACACCTTGATTTTAGACTTCTAGCCTCAGAATTGTGAGAAAATAAGTTTCTGTTAAGTCATCCAATCTCTGGTACCTTGTTATATAGCAGCCTTAACAAACTAACACAGATGATCACATAACCATTGAATAATGTAAAAATTCATGGGTATTCACTGATACAAGTGAATTTTAAAGGGAGGAAAAGGGACAGTGCTCCCTTAATATAGAATTCAGAAGGAATAGTGTAATTAAAATGATCACATTTCATAACCATCATAAACATAATTGATCCAAATAAGATTAATATACTAGAGGCGCGGTGCATGAAATTCGTGCATGGAGGGGGTCCCCTCAGCCCAGCCTGCACCCTCTCCAATCCAGGATCCCTCTCACAATCTAGGACCGCTGGCTCCTAACTGCTCACCTGCCTGCCTGCCTGATTCCCCTAACTGCCCCCCCTGCCAGCTTGATCACCCCTAACCACCTCTGCCTTGCTGGCCTGATCGCCCCAAAAAAAAATCCCTAACCGCCTCTGCCGGCCTGATCGCCCCTAACTGCCCCCGCCCCCCGCGCCGGCCTGGTCAACCCTACTCCCCCCTGCCAGCCTGGTTGCCCCTACTGTCCCCCCTACCGGCCTGGTCACCCCCAACTGCTCCCCTCTGCCAGCCTGGTCACCCCCAACTGCCACCCCTGCCCGCCTGGTCACCCACGCAGCCTGCTGTTCAGTTTGTCCAGTTGTTTTGGTTGTGACAGCCCCTGGCTTTTTATATATTAGGATGCTGGAAGTGGGAGATAAAAGTTTGATGAGAAATAGGATGTTTACTTAAAGTCTCCCCCATAAATTACAGATTAAAAAAGTAACTTTTTAATAAAGAAACTTGGCAGACATTGTCTTAATTACGAGCCTCTTCATAGGAATACACAAACAATATAATGTGAGTGTTCCAGCCCAAAGTGCATCACCTGAAAGTAATCAGGAGGAAACAGACAAACCCAAACTGAAAAAGGTTCTGGGAAATAAATGGCCTGTTCACTTAAAAAATGTCAAGGCCATGAAAGACAGACTGGGGGAATGATTTCAGATGAAAGCAAACTAAAGAGAGGTACAACAGGCCCTAGCTGGTTTGGCTCAGTGGATAGAGCGTCAGCCTGTGGACTGAAAGGTCCCAGGTTCCATTGGGGCCAAGGGCACATGCCCGGGTTGCGGGATCCAACCTCAGTAGGGGGTGTGCAGGAGGCAGACTCATTGATGTTTCTATCTCTCCCTTCCTCTCTGAAATCAATAAATAAAAAAATTTGATAAGAAAAAATTAGAAAGGTACAACAAGTAAATGCAACATGTGGTTCTGGGTTGGACAACTGACCCAAGACCCAAGCTGAATACGAGGGTGGATTAAGTAGAACTATATCCGCGTTAAACTTCCTTGTGGTAACTGTACTGAAGTTAGGTAAGATTAAAACTGCATCGCAAATGTAGTCCACCAACCAATAGCCACTGATCAATTGCCACTGCTCACAATCGTCTCCTCCTCTCCCCAGCTGCTTAGTGATGATTCAGAGAATCCCTCCACCCTCTTCCCAGCATCATTTCCATTCCTGCTGTCCGGCCTTTCCTACCCGTCCACCTTCTCCTCTCCCACCTTCTCCTCCCCCGGCTCCTGGCCCCTGTCCTCTTCCTCTGGCTGCTCTGCGCTCCTGGCTCCTAGCTCTCGGCGGCTCCCTTTCCCCTCCAGGTGCGCCCCGCCGCCCCGCGCTCC